AGTTATAGTCGTCATACTATAGTTGAGCAGCTTCTGATATCACTGTAGTTAAAGGAAAAACTACAGGTTAACAACATTCAGAGTTTAAAGGGCATCCTATATATTGTTTGCAGGTGTAGTCTGGATGAGAATATAATGCTGTTTGTGAGGTGTCAAATTGGATTGTTCAGTGTGTAATGGAGATAGAGTTATCTAATTAATATGTCTTCTGACTTTTCCAATAATTATATCAGTTTGGTTGTATGTTATTAGCCAGGGTTTTGGTTTAATTTTGTAATGTTCAGTTGTAAAGGATAGTGTATTTATATTTGATAACTGTAAAAGTTGAAAGTTAATTTTTCTTGTTTGTTAGAAGACAAGTAGTTTGTTTTTTAAGGTTAAGAACTACAATGGTTTGTGGCCTTTAGGAATTTGTTGTATTTATGAGGAAATATGTTGCCAGTCTAGTAGTACTGAGTTATCATATGAGGTTAGTTGTTTTAGATACATAATTTGTTTTATATGTAATTGTTTTTTAAATTGGGGATATAATTTGTGTAAGTGTAATAGTTTTTCAATAGGTGTGTATAGATGTGGGAATATAAAGGGTCTGAAGTTACTAGAGTGCATCTGAATAGTTAGTTGAAGGTTATTAAGTAGTTGTATGATTTTAAAGGTAGTAGTATGTTTGTTTGGTTTATCTATTATTGAGTTGTCATAATATAGGATATTTGTTATTTACCATAAATTATTTTGTAATTGTTGAAGTCTAATGTGGGTACTTGTGCCCATAAGGTTAGAGTCATTAATATGAAGCAAAAAGTTTGAAATATGGTGTTGGGTTTGTATATCCCAGATGTTTTTGATACTGTATATGTTATGGTGTAATAGTTTACTATGTGGTATAGTTGTAGGTAATTTAGATTTATATTTAGCAATAATAATGTATTGTGATAGAATAGAGTTGCATATTGTGCGTGGTAGAACTATGTTATATATACAGTATTCTAGAGTAGGGATAATGACTGTGTTAATGATATATGCTGCTTGTTTATCAGTTATATTTTTGGTTTTGAGTATTTCATTAAGTTCTAATGCTTCTTGTTTAATTAGTTTAATTTGGGTAGCATATTTGGAAGTAATTGTAAACTAACATTCTAGAAATTTAAAGAGTGTATGGCAGAGTAGTGTTTGTATTGTAGAGTTCATGAAATTGATAGTTGGAGTTAATTTTGTATTAGAAATTAAGATAGATTTATGTAGTTTAACTTTGATGTAAAACATGGTATAGAATGTTGATGCTGTTTGTACTATCTCTTGAAGTTGTTCTTTGGTTTTAGCTAACTATAGTGTATCATCCATATATGCCAAGGTTGATGTTGAAGTTGTTGCTGATTGATATTTTATTGAATTAAATTAAGAGATCCATTTGGTTGTTGAGATATAATTAGTATATCTTTTGTTTATATTGTTGATAAGTGGATTATAATAAATGTGCCAGAGAAGAGGTGTTATAGTTTCTCCTTGGTCAATACTATTCTGTACTTCATATGAAGAGGAAGGGCCAAAGTTGGTAATTATTTGATTGGAGCAGTTTTGAAGTAGATTAATTATAGTATTGACTAGACGTGTAGACATATGTATTCATTGTAATGCTTTGTTAAGGAGTTGGATGTTAACTGAATTATAAACTTTACTCATGTCTTGTGATAGGATCCAAATTTGTTTTTTAGTACAAGTTGCATCTTTAATGAAGTTGTTAAGTATGTGTGTAGGATTGTTAGTTGAGTTGCCTGGAAGTGCAACATAATTATGTGAATTTAAGATAGGGTAAGTTGTAAGGATTTTGTTTAAATAGTTAGTAAGGATTTTTGTATAGACTTTTTTAGAGTGTTCAACTAAAGTAATAGGTCTGGTGTTGTTAAGATTTTTATCAAATTGTGGCTTTTTTGATATCAGATATATTCTACTTTTTTTCCATTGTTTTGGGATGTTTTGTAAAGTTAGACATCTGTTAAGGAATGCTATAAGTGCTGTTAGCATATCTATTCCAATATGCTTAATCATCTCATAACTAATTCCTGATAGTCCACAGGCTTTGTTATTTGAAAGTTGTTGAATAGTTTGTATAACTTCTTTTATGGTGATATGTTCAAGTGCAGAATTGTACCATTCAGGGTTAATTTTAGGGTTTGATGTGTATTCTGTTTGCCAATATTCATTGAATATTTGTTCATTATAAGGATGGTATGCCATCCATTTATTAAAATGGTCTGAAATGTGTTGTTTAATTAGTTTGGGATCAGTAATAATGTCTGAGTCAGTTTTGATATTGTGAAAATGCACTGGCTCTTTGTATCTATTTAGTATACTATTAATTATTTTTGTTGGTTGTATAAGTAATTGTTCACATCTTTTGTCAATTGCTGTATTAATATGTTTGCATAGATGCTGTGCATTTTCAAGGTTTCTGACATTATAGAGTGTTTTCTAGCAAAGTTTTGTTTCTTGTATCCATGTGGCCAAATTGGATTGTTAATGTGGAGGTGGGTTGATGTTAAAGTTGTATGCTATATTGATTTGGTCAATTAGGCTCTGTATATTGTCAGGTATAGTAGAATTGTGTATAAAATGTTTTTTAACTTGATGCATAATATGTCCAATAGTTTTGAGATTATTGTATAGTTGTGTGGCTTTTGGTGTAAAGGTATGAAAAAAGTTTTTAATAATATATTTTTTGTTTAGGATGTGTTTAAGAGCTGCTTTAGTTATACAGATATCTATTTTGTGCCATGTATATTTAAGACTTTCTGTAGTATCTGTTGTTATTGGCACTTAGTATTCTATCATATTAGTCTTGACTTGGTTTGAGAATTCTTCTCAGTTTTCTTTAGTCATTGCTTTGTAGTTATATGTTTTTCTTTTGCATCTGTTTTTGTTTCTGGCTTTAAATATAGCAAATAAAAATTTCCAAGTAGATATTAGTATTTGATGATCACTTTTTGTTGATGATAATGAGTTGTCAAGTTCAAATTTGTATAAATATGGGCTTAATAAGTCATCAGCCCAGATATAGTCTATTCTGTTTTGATATCTTTTTTATTTAATTGTATCTTTAACAAATTAATATATAATAATATAACTATAAATAACCAAGTAAAAGTGTATTAAAAAATTAACTATGACAATGTTTAAATTACAAAAACATCCAGTTATATTCTACTTTAATAAAAAAAACTTGTATATTGTATGATTATAAGATCAAACACAGTAGTAGTATTGCTTCTATGAAAAGATATTTATCAACAAACTAATGATAAATAGCTTAGTATTTATACATGAATTTATCAGAGGCAGAACTTCAAATAAAAAACATCTAGTAAAGAAATATTTTTATAAAAAGAAATGCATTGTATGCAATTATGAATTTTGAGTTAATCCAAAACTTTCAACTATGAAAAAACACTTTGTAGATATCTATAAAACAGAGTAAAATACATTTATTAAGACAAAAAAGTTTATAATTAAATTAACACAAAGAAGAACTCAAACTCAAGTTGTTAAAAAACTGATTATGAATTCCATTGTTCAAATTAAAGAAACAAAAGAGTTAAAACCTAAATCTAAGAATACTGTTCTGTAAAAAAAACCCAAAGTAGTTAAAAAGATTCTTATAAAACCTACTATTGTTAAAGAACAAAAATTATCTTTATTTGGTTATGATACTCAAATTGTAAATCACTATTTTAACAATATAATATACTAAATATATATTGATATAACACATGTTATAAGGTAATTTAACTTAAATTAGTCTTTTTGTATACAAAACTCAGATATAAGAAAAGATTTTTAGGTAATTCAAATAAATTTAAAAATATTATGTAACTTTATAAAATATATAAATAAAGCAATTCTAAATTTAAGTTAATATATAAAAATGTTTAAAGTAACTTTTATTAAAGCATCTTTGTTTAAGCATGTCATCAAAGCAACAAGAGAGCTTGTTACTGATGTTAACATTAAGTTTATAGAATCTGGCATTAATTTTACAAGCATGAATTCATCATATATTGCACTCATCTCTGTCTATTTTGATAAAAAAAGTTTTAAAAAATATGTTTATAATAAGGATAAAACTATTGGCATAAATCTTGATTATCTAAATAAAATACTTAGTCATGTAAAGAATAACAATATTCTTATACTTAGATTAAAAAATCTATATTTTTTAAGTGTTTTATATAGGAGTTTTGATGATACTAGTAAAACTGAATATGAAATTTGATTACTAAATATTGATCAGAAAAGGATCAGTATCCTATTCACTAACCACAATGTGATTATTAATATGCCTTCTGTTGAATTAAAGAAAATATTCTTAGACCAAATGATCATAAATAAAACAATAAGAATAATTGTAAAACAGAATATTGAAACAGTTAAATTTACTTAACTAATAATTTTAATAATAAATATATTGGTACTTTATATAAAAAAACAGTTGGCTTTGATAATAAGATTAATATTAAAGCAGAAAATAATATAGATGATTTATTTTTACTTAAATTTTTATTAATATTTATAAAAGCATTTTCTTTATCAACTTGTATACAAATTTGTTTAGAAAGTAAATTTCTAATTATTGTTAAATATGAAGATGAACAAAGCTATATTCATTACTACTTAGCACAAAAGTAGTTAAAGAATAAACATGTATTTTATTTATATTTCTAGTTAAATAAAACCTAAACTATAATGAAGTAGATAGGTTGTCAACTCTCAAATAATAGGTCTATAGTTTAAATTTTAGTAATGGCAAAAATTTGCAATTCTTTCTGTGTTATAGTTAGCTGTCTTCTGTAATTGATTGGGATAAGACACCTGTAATCTATGTCATACCAGCATGACTGGAAAGTCTAGGCATTTGTGCAACATTGTATAAAGAAACACAAACTGGTACTGGGCAGTGTGAACTCAAGATAAGTTCTTAGGTCATGTAAATCATGAAACCAGATAAGAAGTTTGAAGCTCACTTGAAAAACCTGAGTAGAGAGGTAATTCAAACCTTTGACAGTGCTACTATAAAAACTAGACCCATAAAATAATGCTAGATCTTGTGAAACTAGGCAAAGAGCCAGCCTTTAAGTAGAGGCTGAATGGAACCAACTAGGCTGCTAGGATCCATTCTGTAGAGATGTATAGTTATAATCTGCCTTTTTGGGCTATCTGGTTTGGGAGCTTGGTAGAACTTGAATTGAATACTAAAGTAGTAGGAATATATTGTAAAGTGAGTATCAGAGTTGGGGTGAACTCTACAAGGGCATAGTGGTATAATAGTACATCCTAATCACCAGTGTTGGTCTTAGCCATAGTGATATCAGATCAGCTGTAAGAATAGAATACAGAAGATTCTAAATGGTTTAGTACAAGATTTAAGGTTTTTTATATGAGTGAACTGCTTTAATAACTTAGTGCCATGGCATATTTTCATCAGCATCAGCTAGGGTTATTGGTAGGCAAAGGTAGATAAGTGAATATGAAAATAGAGTGATTAAATAGGAAACCTATAGGTAGATTCCAGGTATAGCAACTAGTGTAGAACCTTCAGGTGGACTACTTAAATTAGACAATGACTAAAGTTGTATAAGTAGCTAGTCATACACTCTTTTCATGTTTGCCTTCTATGGTTGTAATGCAACTATTAGCTAAATATACTATCAATAAAATCCTGGATTACAAGTACTCACCTTAATATTTAAAAAAAAAACCTAAACTATAAACTAAAAGTACATATTTCAGGAGTTCAAGGACTTTATATCATATTTTTTACATTTTTTGATCACATCTTCATTATCTTTTTGTGCAACTATAATTAAATATCTTCTACCCTTTTTCTCATTTTTAAACTTTTGATTAGTATAATAAATCAGACTCAATGTGCAAAATGCAGTTGCACTTTCTTCTTTTTTAGCAACTGATTTCAAGTAATCAATAAATTTTTTGGTTATATTTTTATCATGATCTTTAGGAAGTATTATTATTAAAGCCATGCTTCAAATCTGTAATGGTTATTCTCATTATTATTTTTAGCAACTTCATTAAATATAATTCTTGTCTCAAAAATATTCATAGGTGTACTAAATCCTTTAGCAATATAAACACCTTTCTAGTACTTTCTATTAAAAAAGATTTCCAAGTTTTCATAATTTGCAGAATAGCTAAAGTATCTTAAATAGTTAGCTGCAATGCCAAGTATAGTAACTGAACCTTTAATAGTTTTATATATTTCAATTATACTAAATAAAACAGACTTAATAGCATTACTACTACTTTTGTTAAATACACTTTTGAATTTTTCTGTATTTTTATATATCAAGTTTAATAACTCAACTTCTTCAATACTAACCAAGTCTGATGACTTATTTAGTTTAAAACTAAATATGCTTATTGTATATTATTTAATTATAAAAATAATACTTAATTCAGAAATTAAATAACAAAAAAGAATACAATCATTTATTTAAATAAAAAATATAATGATACAAAAAAAAAATAAAGCTAATTGACATATTGATCTTTTACATATTTTATCATTTAATTCCATCTAGCACTATATTCTATACAAATTATTTTCTTATTTGAGTTATCAATAAACTTTTTTTTCTCAAACTTATAACACAAATTACAAATATAGTAATACTTCTTTTATTTATTATTCTAGCCTGTCTTATTTATCTTACACAATTTACAAAATTTTTATTTTTTACAATTGATACAAAATCTAAAATAACATTTTTGAGTCCTATCTCAACCAATCTTATTTACTTTATATTTGTCACATAATGATGCATTTTTTATTAAAATTTTTTCATGACATTTTCTGTATTTATTATTCTTTATATTTTTTCCATTTTCACAAAGACAAATATCTTCTGAATTAAATAAAAGTTTAACTTTACTATCATTAGTTAAAAACTTCAACTCTTCTTCAAGAGATTCATTATTTCTTTTTGATATAACTTTATAACATTGAAGAGCATATTTAATTTCTTTTGAATATCTTGGTTCAGTGAAACCTCAAAGACTTTCTCATCATTTCATATTATTTTGTTGCTATCTTCAAGCATGAATATAAATTTTAAATTAGATAATTTTTAATATTTTCTATTGTATTGTTATCTTTGTTCATTGACTAGCAAGAATAAAAACTAGAGTGTTTTTATCTAAAAAAACAAAAATGTTACAATATTTTTTATATTCAGAAAAAGTTTTTATATCGCAATGATGTTCAAAGCAACATTGGTAAAGAGGTGCCATTTATTCAATATATTTATAACAATTACATGTGTCTAGCATAAAACAATCTTTGTAGTTATTTTGAAAAGTTATAATATTGTGTTCTATTGTTTAGTTTTAAAAATCTTAAGTAATTTTTGCTTTACTATTATTCATTTTTATAATTAGAAGATATGCATACAGATATATTATTAATAATCCTAACTTTTATAGTTTATCAAGAATTAACTTTAATAAATACAAAAAAAATAAATTACAAATAAAGAATATTCAAAATATTGAATATGATTTTATATGAAACTTATTAACATCTTTTATAATTATATCAAGAGCTTTGTTATATGATTTAGTTAAACTGTTATTTAGTTCTATAAGTTTTTTGGCATACTCTTTTTTTAAGTAAAAGAAAAAGACATAAAACTTAGTAATGAGATTATAAAATAGATAATAAATAATATCTTGTAATTAAAGTATTCTTTCTTAAAATTTTTTGACTAAATTGTCTGATTCATCTTTACATATATCTTAGTATTCTGTTATCTAGCAATTGATTTAGTATAAGTTAATATTCTTTAATTTGTAATAAAACAGTAACTAGATCATTATTAAACTTTATGATCAATAAATTAAAAATTTAAATATCTTTAATAAGAAAGATTGTATCTGAATATAAATCCTATTAAACTTTAGTTAACTAACTCATCTTATAATAATCAAAAGATGAACTATATTGTCTTGTATAAACTAAAATAGATAGTTTGTTTAAAAGAAACAATTTAATTAACATCAATTTAAAATAAAACACATCATAAATAAAATAAAAAATAATATTGTTAAGAAGATAAAAATGTAAATTTAAATCAAGTATAATAAAATAATTTATTAATAAATAAATACATATATTTTGTTATAAATTATATAATACTCTTTTTGTACAACTTTACAACCTCTAAAACTATACTAAAAAAATCTTAGCTGAATTAAGTTTCTTTGTTACTAGATATCCAGACTTTATATAACCTGTTTGTGTAAGTTATTTTCATAGACAAAAATCAATACTGGGTTTTGAATCTTATTTACTCCTCTGGTGTAATACCAAAATCATATTTTACCAAAAACACAAGTTTTTCAAATTTGGTAAAAAAGATATATATAAGTTTCATTTTAAAAAATTTTTTGTCTAATTTGTTAGAATTATTCAAGTATTCTTGTATTTAATCTCAGATTTTGCTTTTTTATTTACTATTCAAAATATTCTTTATTGTATCCTAATATGATTCTATATTGAAATCTTTTTCTTATACACTTCTATTTGAATTTTATTATCTTATTGCATTATTTTCTCAAAGATCAAAACTTCAGTTTCTTTAGATACTTCTTTTTGTAAATCTTCAATATTTTCTTTATTGTAATTAACTTCAATAGTTAGTGTATTAGATTTTTTAAAACAATAATAACAGATACATTTTCTATTATTATCATAAATCTTATAACATGAGTCATTTATTTCATATTTTTTATTTTTTATAGAAAGTTCTTTAGATAATAATATTTTATTCAATTTTATTTTAGTATTAGTTTTTACTGTTCTTTTTTGTTTTTTATTCTTATTATTAGAATAATCTTTTTTTTATTTCTGAGAAGGTTGTCTTAATGAATAAGGATCTAAAATAAACTTAAATTGTTCATTAATTTTGTAATTATGAGGATTATTGTCACTCATGCATATGTGTTTGAAAAAATAATTTTTTAATAATTTAGTAATCTTTAAATAAAGAAATTAT